GCTCCGCTGTCCGTCGGGTGGTAGAGGAGCGGAGCCCCGCTGTCTGTCGGGTGGCAGAGGAGCGGAGCCCCGCTGTCTGTTGGGTGGCAGAGAAGCGGAGCCCCGCTGTCTGTCGGGTGGCAAAGGAGCGGAGCTCCGCTGTCTGTCGGGTGGTAGAGGAGCGGAGCCCCGCTGTCTGTCGGGTGGCAGAGGAGCGGAGCTCCGCTGTCTGTCGGGTGGCAGAGGAGCCGAGCCCCGCTGTCTGTCGGACGGCAGAGGAGCGGAGCCCCGCCGTCTGTCGGGTGGCAGAGGAGCGGAGCCCCGCTGTCTGTCGGACGGCAGAGGAGCGGAGCCCCGCTGTCTGTCGGGTGGCAGAGGAGCGGAGCCCCGCTGTCTGTCGGGCGGCAGAGGAGCGGAGCCCCGCTGTCTGTTGGGTGGCAGAGAAGCGGAGCGCCAGCGTGGCCGTGCAGAACATCACATTCAAGGGACGGCGGGCGGTGCCAACGTGCGGAGCAGGCGCCGAGCAAGAACGGCGCGGCGACGAGCCAAGCCAGCCAGCCAGCCAGCCAGTCAGCCAGCCGGGCCACTTTCCTTGAGGTAGGCATTGTCAGCTATCAGTCGCCTGTACCCATGCCGCCCGGCGCCGCCACCAGCGCCCTGCCCCACAGCATCACCAACACCAACACCAACAGCGCCCTGCAAGCGCAGCCGGCGCCCAGTTAGTGGTGCCGGCCGCCAGCGGTGTGAAGCTGCGTTAGAGAGGGAGCGGGGTAGAGTCGGTGGCGGAGAAACAGAGGGTGAGGAAGGCACCAGAGATCCCCCACGACGGCTTGCAGAGAGATCCAGGCCTGTGTTACACAGTTAGAGCGTGTTGCAAGCACTGCCAACTATATACGGTTACACATGGAAAGGACTTCAGGTGTGTTTTAGCCGGTGAAAGGCGGAGGAAGGGGGGATGGTATGGAAACACTCCCGATCTCTATGCTGATCGGGAAGGGGAAGGGGTGGGCAAGTAAGAAGAGAGTCGGGGTGACGAAAGCTCTATGCTCGGACGCTGCCGTTAGCTGACTACGGCGCTAACTGTGATACGAGGTGGTGCTGACGCGGATAAGCGCGGTCGGCGACGGTCCGACAACGCCGACCGACTCTGGCCATGGTCTCACCTGCGTCACTTTCGCTTTCATCTCGGACAGATAACCCTTGAGGTGCTTCAGCGCCGGCGACGAGGCGGACGTGGCGTCCAAAACGAATGTCGTCTCGTGCAAATCAAAGACGTGGCCGAAACGCTCCTGGACCTCCTTCATCAAGAGATTCACCTATCGGCAGCAAAAAAAAGCAGAGCTTTGCTGATCGAATGGCTATGTCATGGAGGAAAACATCTGATTCAGTATGTTTGTGAACATGCAAACGAAAAACGAAGCAATTCAGAGTATACTAAGGGAAATGTGAAGCAAAAGTTTTAGGCCGGACCTCGAATGAGTAGTAACGTATAACGAGCTAACGGAGACAATTATCATTGCGTAGGCAATAGGTGGCCAATGGCTTAGGAACTGTGCGCGTTGCATTTGAGCGGCGACTTAACGTGCGCTCGGGTAAGCATCAAATCGACCCCCCGAAGGTTTTTTCAGAATTGCTTCCAAACGGAGCGACGTAGCCGCGCTAAACGTTGTACAACTGTAAAGAATTGAGAAGCGGATCTTTTGTTGTAAAAAAGATATACCTTGTAAGGTCGCTGACCTACAGCAGGTCTGTCAGGTCATGGCTGTCAACGAAGGACATTTCTAGGAGATCGTTAAATATGATGCAACTACAAAGCGTTACAAGAAGTCATACATATCTGGTATAGTTTTTTAGATAATAAAACCAATTGAATTTAGAATTACAACCAATCGCATTGGCCTAGGGTCAGGTACAAAGGTCAGAACGAGATCAAAACCATCCTGCGTTTTTACTCGAAAGCTTGGTTCTGTGAGTAGTTTGTGGTCCTCATCTCGAATTTAATAATAGCAGGAACTACAACAGATATGTCTCATGGACTTTTTTAAGGTCAGAGCAGATCACTGACCTAGGATGACCCGGTCAACATCTTGTTCTTAGGAACAATGCCGCCTTGCGCAATCCCTGACGCTTTTTCGAATGGCAAAACAGACCTCGTAAAGGGCAAAAGAGGCCACTCACCTTATTGACCTTTTGTTTAGAACAGGTGCCTAACTTCACGGTCGTTGCATGAAAATTTCTGGGGGCATTTGGACACCAATCTGGAGTTTGAGCTTGTTTGACTTTATTTGACCCAAAGTTAATGATCTAGGAAACTCAAATCTCGACAAAAGTGAGCCTTCATACAAGTCCATCTACCCTGCGAGTTTGCCGTCTCTAGCTGTGTGAGTTTTTGAGCTCTCAAGGAGTCAAATTGACCTCCTACCCGAGCGAAGACTATTCAGCCAGCCACTCGGGCGCATTTTATAACTGCACTTTGGTGTTTGGTAACTCAGCGGCGTGCCAACGCCCAATTACAGCCATCCTACATCTTACTCCCCCCCCCCCCATCCTGACCCTCGAGAGAATAGATAGATGGCAAAGGGACACGTGGGCGCGGGCAAAATACTGAGATCGCAGGCCCAAATTCTAAGGCCTCTACGCTTATCGTTCTCAGGCCTCGTGCATTGTTCAAACACTGAGGCCTCACTACACATAACAGGGCCGTAAACGACCCAGGTGACCGAGACGTGACGTCACACGTACCTCGGACGAGGAATACTCGCCGTGTCCGTTCTTGTGACACTGGCTGAGGTCGGCGTGAGTGGCCACCAGCGCCACCTTCGCCGGTCGGCTCGACCGGCCGCAGTGACCTGGGGTCACATCAGGTAAGGTCAGGTCAGGTCAGTCATGACAGTCGGCGAAACAGGCGACATAGTAGAATCCCTCCACGTTTATATAATCTAAGAGAATCAGCACCGGTCCAGGATGTTTGCGGTTTACACGTTTTGTTCACGTCGTTCCGCACAAAAGTTTGCTTCATTTCACTGTAGCATAAACGGAGGGCCTCCTTCCCGTATACTTCAGGACAAGTTTACAAGCACGGGTGGCCTGAATCAGACGTGGATGCACAACTTCATGAGTTTGAACAAAGGGAAGGCAAACGGCTCAAGGCATTCAAAGGACCTTTGTGTTGGGACAGAGACCATTGTACGTTGAGTCCCCAGTAGTAATTATTCGCTATCACCAGGTATAAGTGCACATCAAATGTCTTCTTTCCACGAAAACGTAGCTTTTCACTTGAACAACTCCCTTACTGAACTTCACAAACACGATCCTCACAAAACCGCTTAGTTAAGCAAAGCCCCCACACGTAGAATGACTAACGGTTTTCATGATAAAAACCAATGTGCGAATATTGCGCTGCGGAAGCGGCTGTTACGGATGCAAAGTCGTTCCTTTGGCAAACCCCTCAAAGCGGTTTACACTCATTAATCTTTCAAAAGTTCAACGTTTTTCTTGGTTGGGCTATTCGACAGTTCTCTATGATTGTATATTTGAAAGCATCTGCTAACAAGTTTACCTACTTGGAGAAGAACTTTAACCTATATCAGAAAATGTTGCGCCTTTCTCCTTCAAATATCATAACCTTGTGCAGAATATCCCCTAAAAATGTGGGCACATGCCCGCCTGTTACTAAGTATTCAACTATATAACATTTCACACGTACCCGGGAGATGGTCGGCCTGCGTGGCTGGCAAGATAGAACTGACGATGCCAGTGACCCCCTGACTTCACTGACCACGAAACCTCTGACATCACTGAACTGGCCATCCTCCTGATGTCATCACCGACCGGCCGACGACCCCCATGACGTCACCATCGACCGGTGAACCCTCTAACGTCACAATGGACCGGCGACCACCCCTGACGTCACCACAATCGGCGACCCCCTAACGTCCATCGCCTGACGGCGACCCCTGACGTCGCCATCGTCCAGCGAACCCCTCTACCGTCACCAGTGACCGGTGACCATCCTAACGTCACTACCGACCTGAAAGAGCCCTCCAACATCACCACTGACAGGCGACCGCTCTGATGTCACCACTGACCGAGCGGTTCCTTGGGAGGGATGCGCGCCTGCAGGAAGCCCATCCAGAAGATGACCTGCTGCATCTGCACCGCTGGGGGGTCGCTGAGCCGGTACACCACCAGGTGGACGCAGTTGGTATTGCCGATGAAGTGGTCGTAGAAGATGTAGTAGCTGTCGTGGCCGGAGAAGTCCCACACGGACACCTCCCCCACTCCACTCAGCGTCGACTGGTGACAAACAATCGACCGGCCGCTAGAACACTGACAAGACCAGCTGGGCCGTCATCCGAATCCAGGATCAAACAACGGAGCCAATGCAACGCCCCTGTGCTGCTTACATGGTATGCAATTAGGAATCGGCTCTCTTGTCAGTGCACCACATCACATAGTTCTGCGAGATAGCTACCCAGGCGAGAACGGCTGTGGTGGTCTTAAAAATAGCTATTAAAGTCGCGCCATTCGTACACCACAACGATACCTAAACCAAATACCACAATCGCTAACGCAGCTATCATGAGGGCTGTTGAACGCTGCCCCTTCGGCTGCCATGGGGAACCTATGGTACTCTCCGAAGGTCGGGCCACCGCCTTACAAACCGTCGTTTGTGCGGGTCCGTCCATGAGGCCACGGGGCTCCGACAGCAGGCCAGCACCCGGTGGCCGGTCGACGGCCGCCCGTTCGCCGGCACACCCACCTGGCTGACGTCGATGCCGCGGGTGTAGTTGTCGTAGCCTGTGTCGAACGACAGCGAACTGTCTCTGCACCGGGTCGGCGTCATCTCCATGTGCGACTTGTTGGGGCTGTGCGTGGCTAGAACGAGAGACCCGGCTGGGTGTGATCGACCGACCAGGGGTTTCTGGGGACATGTATCGAGCGAGGAGCCGCTCAGGCCAATGGAGCGTAAAGACAGGACCTGACGGATCGGCTGACCTTAAGACGGATACAACCCAAAATAATGGGTGCCCAAAGACGAATTCGAAGAAGGATTTTCTTGAGCCGCGGCCAGCCAAACATCATCACAATGTCGCAGGGATGACGGCAGTAGGGCGTTCCTGGGAACGCGTGTAGGTGATGAGGGATCATGCACATCGGTTGTGTATTTCAGGTTTGACTTTCTAAATAATATCTGAAGTGCCTGAGCGTGTAATAAACATCTAGAGTAATTCAAGATAAAATTTCAGACAGCTTAATGTTTTTAAGGTGAGAGCAGGCAACACTCACTTTTTGAAACATGGTAACGAAACGTGGTAAGGTTTTTGTTGTTCTTACATTTTTGACTGCCAATGCTGCCGATGCTCCACTCTTGCTTCTCTTGAAGAAGCTGGAGAAATATCCCATCTTCATCGACTCAATCAGGGACGTCTTCCCAACGCCCGAGTGTCCGAAGACCTTGAGTTTTATTCGCGAGATCGGGTTTGCAGTCGGTATCCAGCTGATTGAGGTATTCCTCCCGAAGCTCGGCCTTCGGGGTTACATAACGCCGCAATATTAATAATATGAGCCCCGTTTCCGTAGCACTCTGCTGCTCACAAACGCACACTACTGGTAAATCAGATCGTACAGGCCGCGCATTGACAATTTCAGTGAATCTTTGTGCTGAAGCATCCAACACTAGGATACACTTGGGCGGAACATGTCTTAACAGTGTCTGCAGTCCTTACCATGCGTTGGGCCTATCGACGGCCGCCTCAGTTAACCAACCAGCAAAGCATCCGGCGGTCGCCTCCGTCATCATCGAACCCCTAAACCTTTCAGCAGACGCCAACGGCACGTCTTGGGCTAAAATGGAACAAGCTATGTGCGTCCGTGCACAAAGCAACCTATCACCGGACGCAATCAAGTCAACGGAAATCTTCGTCAGAAACGCTATAGTTTTCACAGCTACTGAATTGGTCGGTGTTCATGTTGCTGGGCTTGAGCGGATGACTCACATTGCCGAGTCGGGAGAAGCAGAACAGCGGATGTCATTGTGGCCCGCGCTTGATGGCCGTGATCTCTCGGCCTTGATGCCGTACCGGTTCCGCTGGTCTATAGTGCAGCCGGCTAGGCACAATATCCTGCCGGACAGCGGGACCATGAGCAGCAGCACCGCGCACAGGCGGCGCCGCGCGCTCGGGTCAGCTCGGCTCGGCTCGGCTTGGCTTGGCATGGCTCGGCTCAAGACGCTCTGGTGGCCCCCCCCCCCACACACACGCACACGCACACGCACACGCACACACCACACACCACACGCACGCACGCACGCAACGCACGCACGCACGCACGCCACGCACGCACACACACACACACACACACACACACCACACACACACACCACACAACACACACACACCACACACACACTTGCTCCAGGTGCAGCGCTCCGCAGCGCCTTCAGCAATCTGATACCATTGGCGACACTCTGCCTGTGCCGTCTGGTTGCAAGGGATGGATGGCATCATCGCGTTCGACCCCTGGTGGCTCTCGGTTCTCACCTGACCACCTCGGTGTGGCCGTGTTTGGCTGCCAGGTGGATGGGGTACAGGCCCTCGCGGTTGATGACGTCCACTGCGCAGCCATAAGCGCAAAGCGTCTGCGCCAGGGTCAGCAGGCCGGCGGCGGCCGCCAGATGGATGGGCGTCTCCCCCGCCTGGCCGGACACGCCACCGCCCGGTCAGCGGGGCGGCGCCGGAGGCACACTCGCAGCACGGCGCGCTCACAGGCCGGAGTCTCTCAGCAGAGTGACGGCATGACACTGAGCATGCACCGGCTTCTCGGCCCAAGCCGTGCCATGCTGTTTGAATTATCGGGGATGTTGATGCTGCCGTTACCAACAATCCAAGCGACAACAATGTCTTAGCCATACATTCGGCAGCGCACATCCAAGATGAAGAAGCGTCATAAGAAGACGTGCATTTCCGTCACAGGTTTGGGAGTCTCTCCCGAACACCATTTTCTGTTTCGCTCGTAACGTTGTCCTCTCAATTCTGGACTTACTCATCCAGGACCAACGCTCGGTTCTCGACCCACTCCTGATCGGCTCCCCGCCCGCCCACGACATCACACCGTCCCTCCCGAGCCGCATCGCTGGTCACGAGACGCCAACTCGTGCCCCCAGCTCAAACACCGTCCTCCCGAGCCGCATCGCTGGTCAAGAGACGGCCAGCTCGACCCCAGCTCGAGCAGACCGTCCTCCCGAGCCGCATCGCTGGTCCACGAGACGCCAGCTCGACCCCCAGCTCGAACACCGTCCTCCCGAGCCGCATCGCTGGTCACGAGACGCCAGCCTCGACCCCCAGCTGTGGCACTCACGTGATCAGCTAGGTCGCAGTCGTCGCCGGCCTGGAGCAGCAGGTGCGCCACGTGCACGTGTCGCCGGTGCAGCGCCAGGTGGAGGGCGGTGGGCCGCCGCCGTGTCGGCCAGGTTCAGCGTGGCGCCGGCGTCTAGTAAACAGCGCACGGCATCCAGATGGCCGCGCGCCGCCGCGCAGTGCAGCGGTGTCTCCAGCTCCTGAAGGCAATCAGTGGTCCGCGGGACTCCTGAGGGCACACAGCCGGTCACCGGGGCTCCTGAGGGCACACAGCCGGTCACCGGGGCTCCTGAGGGCACACAGCCGGTCACCGAGGCTCTGAGGGCACCAGACGGTCACCGGGCTCCTGAGGGCACACAGCCGGTCACCGAGGCTCCTGAGGGCACACAGCGGTCACCGGGCTCCTGAGGGCACACAGCCGGTCACCGGGCTCCTGAGGGCACCACAGCCGGTACCGGGGCTCATGAGGGCACACAGCCGGTCACCGGGGCTCCTGAGGGCACACAGCCGGTCACCGAGGCTCCTGAGGGCACACAGCCGGTCACCGGGCTCCTGAGGGCACACAGCCGGTCACCGGGGCTCCTGAGGGCACACAGCCGGTCACCGGGGCTCCTGAGGGCACACAGCCGGTCACCGGGGCTCCTGAGGGCACACAGCCGGTCACCGGGGCTCCTGAGGGCACACAGCCGGTCACCGAGGCTCTCACACAGCGGTCACCGGTGGCTCCTGAGGGGCATCACAGCCGGTCACCGGGGCTCCTGAGGGCACACCGCCGGTCACCGTGGCTCCTGAGGGCACACAGCCGGTCACCGGGGCTCCTGAGACACACAGCCTGTCACGGGAGCTCCTGAAGGTAATCAGCGGGTCAGCAGGATCTTTAACATGCACACAGGCGTGCGTGCACACATTAACATTTATATTTACAATGCAGCTCACCAATTACATTTGCTTTTAAGCAATCGTTAAACCGACAGTATCCGACAAGGACAAAATGTGCCTTACGTTAAAATGAGTTTGCAAAGCATGACTCCCTAAAAACACGCGTTTTTCATACATCATGTAGAGTTTTACATGCTTCGCATGACGCTACAGGCCAAATATATTCTACAAGGCAACATCTGACCTTCTCCGACAGCAAAAATAGCAGGGCGCAACTACGCCTGATTTGGCGACACGAACCATAATGAAATCACACAGACAGAAACCACGCACAGCCGGCCATGTGTCGATGAATGATATAACGTTAAGTGATAAGGTTAAGTGAGCGAGTTAACGTTAAGCGAGTTCCGACGTCGTGGGAGAGAGAGGGAGAGAGAGAACGATGACTGGGCGGGAACGGGGCAAGTACGCTGCAGTCCCTGGCGGACGGCGGCCTCACGTTCCGTGGCCGCGAGGTCGCCACCCAGGACTCCTCGGCCCGATGACGGTTACTTACGTGGTTGACGACGTTGGATTGGCTCCGGCCAGACAGAGAAGGCTGGCGATGACGGGGAAGCCATGCCACACGGCCATGTGCAGCGCCGTCTCCGCATGCTGCGCCGTCAGGCAGGCGTACTCACACACACACAACGTCCACACCCACGCGCGTCGGGGCACCATGCAGGGCGTGACGCCCGTCACGCTCGGCTCGGGCGCCACGCGCGGCCGCCGTCAACGGCTTTGGAACGCGGAGTAGCCACACACGCGGCCGCCACCAGGGGCTCTGGGAGGCGATGCGGCCTCACGCGTGACGCCTGGGCACCGCTTCCACGCCTACGTGGTTCTCGCGCCGTATTTACTGCTCCACTCACTTTATGGATTGTAAAGATAAACTGGGGCGCATCAAGCTGCCGTTGACACTCTCTCGCGAAAACTCTTCAGGCAAAGAGGCCTACTACTCAGTTCCAAGTCCGGCTTATCTACTTCGTACATGACCTGAATGCTGACCCGTGATGGGGCAAGCGAAACACGAATGCCAATTTAAGCAAACTGCAAGACTGCCTCCAGTCCTTGGCGAAGGCAGCCGAGAAGAGCACCACGAAACAGCATGGTCAGTTTCTGAATGCAGTTTTGGGGGGTTTGTTTTGCCAAGTGAGCATCACTTTAAGATTCAGTCGTTCACCGGGACGCGGGGCAAATACACACATGGCTATAACAGCAAGCAGCGTTGAAAAAAAAACACGAACCAAACCAAAACAACTAAAATACAAGCAATCTCAAAACATACAAGCCAACAGACAATAACGCAGCAAATGAGATAAATGCTGCAGCAGTTGCAGTCATGTGTGTAGTGGTGGACAGCCATAATACGTCTGTGCCATCCACCATTTCAAACAGATACTGAGTGCGACAGAACTCACGTCGTCCTGTATGTCGAGGTTGGTGTGCGCCTCGCAGAGCAGCTGGACCACAGCTGTGTGACCATACCGGGCCGCCACGTGCAGGGGTGTCTCGCCGCTCTGTCGGCCGGGGGTGACGGGTCAGGGCTTAGGGGCCAGTGTGGCACGCGGCCGGCCAGCACCGCCGCCTACCCACCCATCGCACATCACCAGCATTGTTGTATCCCGCGCTTTCCTAGCTCATCTTTCACACTTACTCTTGGCAGCGCGCCTTCTCAAAGGGGGTACTCTATGGCCGTCAACCATGAGCTGGCTTCAAAGCTGCCAGTTTCGGGGTTTGTGCTGGTGCCCAAGCGACAGCACCAAGCCTGGAGATGAGGCCCTGTGCTCTGAAGATGAGACCCAGTGCGGGTAAGGATCGGTAGAGGCTAGCCCCCACGATGGCCGGAGCATTGTCCGACACCACTCACCCCTCGCCTTATTCTCCTAGCTCCAAACGGTCATTGCTGGCCGAAAGAGCTCTGTCCGCAACCGAATCAGCCATTGCCATTGTCCACAACCGCTACACCATTGGGTCATCTGAACCCGCGAAATCCCGCAGCTCCAATTCGGCGGCAGCAGTCGGGGCTCGGACCCGCGCGAAATCCCGAAGCTCCAATTCGGCAGTAGCAGTCGGGGCTTGGCTGGCCCCATTCAGGAAACGCCGAGCCAGGCTGGCTTAAGGGCTTCGGCCAGTCACATTCCGTAGGCTGATTGGTGCTCGGTCGCGGGGCTTGCTTTTCAGGCAAAGCATAAATCCAGGTGTAATTCGAGGTCGAAACACCCTAAGCATTTGAGCATCGGGTTCACCTCCGGACTGCCATGCTTCGAATGACCTGTGGTGCCAAGTTCGCGCACAAAATCGTGAGTGGGCATCGCCAAGTTGAAAGTCAGCCGATTACTCTTCTCTGCGCGAGCATACGTCGCCTACGTTAGAGCCTTTTACAGTATTTACCTGCACGCCGGCATGGATACAGCACAAAAATTCACAGCACAAACCGCTTCAGAAAACGTTTTACCGACCACATGGTCTGGGGTAAAACATCGAGAAGGTTAGTACCCCTGGCAACGACTGCCAGGGACTGACGATTCTCAGGGACTCAGCGGCACCTGGCGAGAATACTTTTATCTTTTTTTACATATTCTCTGTGAGCACCTCCCCGAAGAGCAGGCAGGGAACCTGCCACGACCAGGTCTTTGGAACTCCACGAGCGATCTGGCAGGACTTTGCCTAGTTTCGTACCCTCAAGTCTTCCACAGCCAGCCTGTTGCACATTCGTCGTCCTTTTTAAGAAATTCCGGACATCGATGGCGGTATTTGGGAAACAAAGGACCATGTGGTGTAAAGTGACACAGGAGAAAGTGGAAGGAGTCCGCTTTATTTGGATATCTGATGGCACTTTAACGTCTCACTCCTCATTTCCATGCCACACAGGCCTGCCCGCTTCATAGCTGCTTCTATTTCCTCTCCATCTCACACGCCATAGGTTTCACATCAAAGCTGATTACTAGCTTAGTCCCGACACATCATTTGGACAAGACGTAAGTGTCACGTACTGCGTACAAACTGCAACACCGGGCGGATCTGATATGGTGATAAAGAGGGCAGATGTCTGTGGGATGAGGACAAAATGTACTGCAAAAGCGTTCTAAGCCAATACCGCCTTTTTGGGGCGCAGGGGTTGGAAAGCAGTAGGAGCAGCTCCACCCAGCGTGGAGGACCTGTGGAGAGCTTATGCAAGTATATTGAGGGCCCATTCTAAACTTTCAAGGGATTAAGTAGCCGGTATAAGTACATTCTGATCTGCCGAGGGCTCATTCTGGCCAATTTTAGGGTCAATTCTGATCAGAGGAGGGCATTGCTGAGCGTGTAAGAAGGCCCATTCTGACCTGTAGAGGGCCCATTATGACCTGGAGAAGGCCCGTTATAAGCTGTAGAGGGCTCATCGTTGAACGCAGCATTAGCCATTCTGGCCTGTAGAGGACCTACTCTAGCCTGTAGAGAGTCAAAGTATTGACTGCATTAGGTCAAATTTTAGCCTGTTAAGGGCCCATTCTGGCCTGTGAAGACACCTATTCCGACCTATAGAGGGCTAACTGCCGACTTTGTACCGACTTGGTCTGGTCTGTGGAGGCACCCATTCTGACCTATAGGGGGCCAACTACCGATTTTGTACCGACTTAGTCTGGTCTTTGAAGACACCCATCCTGACCTATAGAGGGCCAACTACTGATTGGTCCATTTTGGCATGTTCAGGGGTCTATTTATTGCCTGGAGAGTGCCCATTCTGGCTTGTAGAGGAGCCATTATTAGCTGTGGAGAGGCGATGCTGGCGTATAGAGGGCCCATTATTGCCTGTAGAGAGCCCATTTTGGCCTGTAGATGCTCATTCTAGTCTACAAATGGCCCATTCCAACCTGTAGAGGGCTCATCATTGACAGTGGAGACCTTATTTTGTCCTGTAAAGGGCCCATTCAAACCCGCATGGACATTATTCTGACCTGTAGAAAGCACATGATTAAGTGGAAAGTGTCCGTTTTTACTTGTGAACGGCTCACTATCTAATCTTAGAGGGTCCAATCCGGCAATTCAAACTTTGTGCCCCTCCCCTAACATAGTTTCCGCGGCCCTGCCGCCTTAAGCACCAACAACCAGCAACGTGAAATGTGAGCAATTTAGCAATGTGGAAACAAAAGACAGTGGTGAAAAGGTGAGGCTGCAGCAATACAGAAAGAAACTTCGGTTATTGTAAAACTGCCTGCTTGAAACGACAGCCGGTCGTATTTTTGGGGTTTCTGAAATTGCATTGTTTAAAGCAATAACTACGGTATAGATAAGCTTTCATATAAGATAAAACTAGGGAACAAAAACATGCAAATCGTTAAGGTAAAAACGGCGACGAAGCAGTCGTGTGCCAGTGGTAGCACCATTTCTTTTCTTTGAAGCAAAACATGCCGAAAATGTCAAACTTTTGAAAAAGGATTCAGACCCATTCCGCCACACCTTTACGCTAAGCATGACGTAAACAACTAGCACCAACTACATACGCTGGTTTTTCACCTTTTGTACTTCTCCAGTGCAAGCATTGCACATCCCGTTGTGCTTTAGGGGACCGAAAAAAACTGACTGGACGCTGCCATCGACAGTCGCCACTACGGCTCACCGGTGGTGGGTGACGTGCCCTGGCCATGGTTGGCATTTCGACAACTGAAACTAGTTTTTGCCATATTCTGGCTCTTACTAGCTTCTTCCAGACAAGGTGGGCATAAACTAGCAGAGATTCGGAAAGCCGTAATATCCTTCACTTAATTAATTATGCTGGCATATCTAAGTCCGAGGTCATAGATCTTGATTTCACATGCAGCCGTCAAAAAATTATGCATAACATCATGCAAAGGAGCTTGACAATGGCCACATTCAAATATACTCTAAGTTGTTGTGGTGACAATTGATGCCTGTATGTTGCAGCAGCAATGTGAATTAAGCCTTAGGTCGATCTGCTTCAAACTCTGGTTCAAAGGATTTCCATAATTCTCTTCGGATCATGCAAACAGGATTGCAATGTAACATAAGCACATACCAATGTTGGATTAGACACCATGGCTTGGTAATGATTTTGTAAAATGCGTCGGCCCCCTTAGAAACTGGTGTTAGCATGCCTACACCATCTGTCATGTAACCTTACCATAAAGTAGTGCCTCAGGGATCATCTGTCAACTGACGGCCTCATCGAAGTTAAATTTTCACGCTTGACCGATGTAAATGGTAGTCTTACCGTATGTGGATGTTTTTCTGTGGCACCCGAGGGTACTATAGTGACGAGGATTATATCAATTCAAAACGCAGTATTGCGACAAAATTCCCTGAAGCGAAAAGGTCGATCGCTCCCTTGACGTCAGCACCGCGTCAGACATTTCCACTGATGTCCGCCGAACACCATGACTCTAAAAGAGTGGCGAACTTCCCCAGAATTGCTCCCGGCCGGAGCTTGCTGAGCTTCACGCACCGACAGTGCGTGCGTCTCCGACAGTCAAGAGCCGACATGACGGCAGCCAGTCGTGTTACAAGGGTCGGTGTCGCGTTCAGCTGCGATCGTGTACGTAAGCTGCTCCCATACTGACGGCATACAACACTAATATGAGGTTAGCACATAGGCCATACCTCACGAAGTACCTGCTCTGATAAAAGAAAAGAGATTCACTTGCAGCATTTTTCTAGGGCCGCAGTATCCGTTAGGCGCTGGGAATCACTTACCATTAAATAAGAGTCTCTCGCAAGCGCGAATGGAAACAAGGACCCCAAAGAAACATGGAGAATGAAAGTAATGCCATGAAAAAGGCACAAGGAACTGAGCGCATATTTCAGGTTTGATAGGCACGTTCCAAGGAATACTGGTCAACACGCCAGCACTACAACCATTTGGCCGCTGCTGGACGGCACTCTACAGCGGCTAGCATTGATCGAGGCGAGCAGATATGGTAAACATAGTCATCATCAGCGACCTGATTCTACCATCCACTCTTGTGACGTGCAGACCTCACCGCAGTATTCTGTCCGTGACAGACTCGTAACGTGTGCACCTCGCCTCAGTACGCTGCCTGTGAGGGACCCGTGACGAACCCACCTTATCCCAGAGTGTTGTCGGGTGCCGGAAGTGTGGTGGTTAACGCGGTGAGGGACCCGTGACGAACCCACCTTACCACGGAGCGTTGTCGGGTGCCGGTAGTGAAGTGGTTAAACGCGTCTACATTAACCACTACGCGTCTGGGAAACCACAGGTCAGGGATTCGATTCCCCGCGGTGCCCGCCCTTCCTGCCAGGGTGAGAGACAGGCGACGCCATATCGCCTCAGCAGCTGAGTGCGTCGTAAAGCCCCAAAGACACACACACACACACACACACACACACACACACACACATACCTTGTTCCTGTTGTTGACGTGCACGCCCTCCCGGATGAGGTAATTGAGCACGGCCGAGTGGCTATGCCGGGCCGCCCAGAAGGCCGAGTTGTCACCGTTGCCGTCCGTCTGGTTTAAGTTGGCTCCTTTGGCGCGCAGCACCCGCACCACCTCCAGCTGACCCAGGCCGGCCGCCACGTGAAGTGCAGTCTCACCGTGCTGTCGGCAGATGGCAGTACGTTGGCGGCGACCCGCCCCCTACCACATCAGGCAAATTCGTCACGACACCAAAGTTTAGCAGCAGCTTTCTTATTATTGTTGTTCAACGCTCGCCCTGAAAGGAAGCGGAACCGAGCCCCTCCCTTCCCTAAGGTTTTCTGAGGAAATCTCCCCGGCGTACGTCGTGTAATTGCGCTGACATTTGCAGGAGCCTCTTGAGCATCCATCGGGCGTTCATTGACTCAATAACGTGTGTCTAGCTATTCCAGTTCCTGAGAAGCAGCCTTTTTAAGAACATTGCACGGTGGTCCACGACGCGGGTGGCGGGCGCCGATTCGCCGGTAGCGCGCGGAGGGAGCGACACCGTCATATCAGCTGACACGTACATTATATATAAATATATGGATATATGCATATATGCTAAAACACACAGAAATGCATCTAGAAATGTTTCAAGCTAACGTTTACCTCTTATTACCTCACGCTAACATAACATCTAGAAATGTTTCAAGCAAAGCTAAACATGGAAGACGTCTGTGTAAGTTTATGATGATAGGTGAGGCCATGTTGTAAACATGCACAGGTAAAGATGAAATAAGTTGGTTGTCACGAAAAGTGACTTTTGAACCGGCTTAAATGCATTAATAACTGGGCAAAACATAAAACTGTTACCAATGGGGAGACCTCGTTGAAACACTGTTTATTATCCCACGAGACTCTGTTTTCTTAGTTAAGAAAAGGCATTGAGCAAGGTCAAGGCATCGACCCCCTGTCAGGTTGGGTTCGGAAAAGAGGCGAATCAGGGCGAGAGTTGGAATGACAGGCAGCATATTTCACCCGTCGTGCCTTATGTCGCTAGTTGTGGACGAGGAAGATAAAAGGCCCTGCGTTTGGGTCAGACAATGCGCAGGGCAAGAGTACGAGTCTCAGTCATCCCATGCGGGCTACCAAAATTTGTGAAACTCCAGGCTTGTTTTTTAGACCCCAGTCGTCGCTGCAGTACAGCAGCAACGCAAACTTGTTCGCCGACAAATGGAGTCGGCTGGTACATACGTCCCGCTCCCGCTGTGCCCAGTCGGCGGGTACATACGTCCCGCTCCCGCTGGGCCCAGTCGGCTGGTACATACGTCCCGCTCCCGCTGTGCCCAGTCGGCGGGTACATACGTCCCGCTCCCGCTGGCCCAGTCGGCCGGTACACGCGGCCCGCTCCGGCTGGGCCCAGTCGACTGGTACATACGGCCCGCGCGGCTGGGCCCAGTCGGCTGGTACACGCGGTCCGCTCCGGCTGGGCCAGTCGGCTGGTACATACGGCCCGCTGCGGCTGGGCCCAGTCGGCTGGTACATACGGCCCGCTCCGACTGGGCCCAGTCGGCTGGTACATACGGCCCGCTCTCGCTGGACCCACTCGGCGGGTACACGCGGGCCCGTTCCGGCTGGGCCCAGTCGGCCGGTGCACGCGGTCCGCTCCGGCTGGGCCCAGTCGGCTGGCACATACGGCCCGCTCCGGCTGGGCCCAGTCGGCTGGTGCATACGGCCCGCTGCGGCTGGGCCAGTCGGCTGGTACATACGGCCCGCTCCGACTGGGCCCAGTCGACGGGAACACGTGGCCCGCTCCGACTGGGCCCAGTCGACGGGAACACGTGGCCCGCTCCGACTGGGCCCAGTCGGCCGCTCAGCCCCTGCACCGCTGCCTCATGGGAACGGCATCCAAGCGGCACTGTTTTACCCAGCAGCGGCCCCACCAGCGCAGGCACCAGTCCAATCCGCGCAGCCCGCTGTCAATCAGTGTCACGAAGTGGTTGTTTTGGTGGCGGTGGTCTGACCCCAACACGCCACCGGCTCTCCCGTGGCCCGATTCCCCAATTCATGGCTAGGTATTACACGGTCTGCGAGGCATTTCCATTCCGCCTGGAACCCCCGACGACTTTCTCAAGCGGCCAGCTCCCGCCCGGCCCCCGGCGCGTCCCGCTCCCGCCCGGCCCTGCCGCGTCCCGTTCCCGCCCGATCCCGGTGCGTCTCGCTCCCGCCCGGTCCCGCCACGTCCCGCTCCCGCCCGGTCCCGGTGTGTCCCGCTCCCGCCCGGCCCTGCCGCGTCCCGCCCCCGCCCGGCCCTGCCGCGTCCAGCCCCCGCCCGGTCCTGGCACGTCCCACTCCCGCACGGCACTGCCGCGTCCCGTCCAGCCCGGTCCCGGCGCGTCCCGCTCTCGCATGGCCCTGCCGCGTCCAGCCCCCGCCCGGTCCCAGTGCGTCCCGCTCCTGCCCGGCCCCGCCGCGTCCCGTCCAGAAAGGTCTCGGCGCGCCCCGCTCCCGCATGGCCCTGCCGCGTCCCGTCCAGAAACGTTCCGGCGCGTCCCGCTCCCGCACGGCCCTGCAGCGTCCCGTCCAGCCCGGTTCCGGCGCGTCCCGCTCCCGCCCGGCCCCGGTGCGTCCCGCCGATGGCGTCACGAAGCGGTCCTGGCGGCACACGCGGACCGCGCCACGCGCCGCACGCGCCGCCTACAGCCTGCCGGGCAACCCTTGTCTACGCGTCGCTTCGTGACGTACGCTATGGTTGGGCTCCCCTATTGCCAGACGCTATCCACAAGTCACAACCTATGACGTCACAGGTAAGTGTGTCACAACAGCTCCTTTGCCTTGGAGTACGGTCGCTCAGGTGTGGTGTCGGCACTTGTCATGTCATGGGTTACAGCTTCAGGTACATACTTTGCCCATGAAGAACTGAGCACAGCTCGAAAAACGGAGATTGTGAGCCCAGATCTAGCATGCTTAGGCATGGCCACTGTATGTATTCACCACCGGATATGCTCTATATAGGGGACCGGCAGGGTGCAGTAGGTTTTCGCGCAAGCCAGCACGGAAATAACTTTGAGTAAAACAATAATGCATCGCAGTAGGGGTGCCCGATGACCACCAGACACATTACAAAATTGTAAATAACGCACTCAAGCCATTTCGAATTGGCTGGTGCTGATCCCACCCCAACAACAGTTCATCCGTACTTCAGGCCTGATCGGGAGTGAACGTTGTGCGCGGATGCTGTGAATTTGTGGTCCAGGGAACATTGCTTTAAACTAGATACTCCCGCATCCTTCTAAAAATAGTCCTAACATGCGGCTCGCTTTGGCAACAGCTGAGGCCACCTAAAGCAGAAAGTGGTCTTGGCGCTAAGAATGAGTCAGAAGCCAGTTTCTTAAAGCTAAAGTACAATCTTCGCCAAGTATTTATGACTTCTTTCCTTTTGACAGCAGTAAGATCACTATTCCTTGGAGAAAAAGGCAGGAAAATGAAGACATAGAGATATATAGGGATTAATAAAGATATAAAGGATACAAAACCAAATATGGGAGATATATGCACTTAACAACTTGTGTACTTCCGATTATACAAACTACACTTTAAGCCAGGTTCTCAAGGCTGTCAAGACCTTCTGTCGTAGTTGGTACATTTGGCTGTGGCGTAGATTTTTGTGCGTCGCCTTGCCAGGACAGCTACAAAAAAAAACTTGAGATAATTCTGGCAGCCATAAACATGGGTCTCATGTTTTTGAGTATGGATTGCCTTAACCCGAATCGCCATAGATTTAGATAAATTAATATATAGGCTCGCACTTATCTGGCTTGACACCAAATCAGCCACATTAGCTTAAGATTTTGTAGATAATTATCTCTAGTTACAATTGTGACGCCTTGATTGGAAAATCAACGTTTATAAAGATATGTAATCAAAGGCACACACGCCGGTAGTGCGGCGGTTAACGTGTCGGGGCACGGGTTCGGTGCCCGCCCTTCCTGCCAAGGTGAGAGGCAAGTGACGCCACACAGCCTCAACAGCTCAGAGGCTAGATGATTAAGGATTAAGATGATAGAGGCTAAGATAGATTGGATCAGAGATTAAGATGAGAGGCAGGCGACGCCTCATAGCCTTAACAGCTGAGTGCATCATAACGCCACAATGACCGGCATACAGACAGGAAGAGTACAGCCGAGAATGTTCAAGAAAGCCGGAGAGTGGTCACAGCACGCCGTCCGCAGGGAATTCGAATAGTACCATCGCCCATCGACTCGTCCATCGCGATGTGTACACATGGCTCCGCAACACCATTTAGTTGCATCGACTGCCGCGCGCTTTGCAATCGACGCGCCGTGGTTGTAAGCGCGCGTGCTGCGTAATAAACAGAGCAACACGCGCTGTAGATGTGCGTGACTTTGAGAAGGATTTGTAGAGCACCATGGGGCTGAATTGGCAGCAATCGGATTTATGTCGTCTATAGCTGATAAGATTGGTGAAGGCAGCTATCTTCCATTCATCAGCTTTTTCAGTGCTCATTTTCGTATTAATATAATCCACACATGGAGAGGCCCTGGAGTGCGGGACTCTACAGTAGGCACGTCCGAGGGCGGAGAAGCTGCACGCCGGACTCTGCGCCAGGCACGTCCGAGGGCGGTGAAGCTGTAGTAATGCGTGTCATCTGACCGGTGATACAGATGAAAACTGCACTGGTACGCACTGTACCACTGCAGGTGTTAAAAGGTGTTGTGAACATATTGGGAATAGCTGGAGCTAGCTCAAGGTATCGTCATTGTGGACGTAAAAAGCTGTTGGGTGGTACACCGAGAGAGAAGTACTTGAATTATTTTGATTTTAAACCGCAGAAACAGATGGCGTTGCTTCAAAAACTTTTGCACCCTGAAGCCAGACCAGCCCAACCAACTCGGAACAATATTGTGATGAGTAACACTCATATACTGCTAACCAAACTCTCACTGCCTGATCGACATGCCACAAAATCGGCGTAACGTGCTCACAAAAACCTAATGAAGCTTTATTTTAAATGGTTTGCGGTCCTTCCCTACCAAGTGGAATTATTTTCCTCGCAATGCATTCAGCTATGACAAAGAGAGAAACATTAGCCGTTTTCACGAAGGGTAACAGCGAAAATTTTCAAGCTTGTTAAAAACTTGTCAACGTTTATTTAATAAACACACGCTTTTTTATCAGCG